GTGGACCTGTTCGTGCAATTCCTCGTGGAACGCGTGTCAAGAATGCAGTTGGTGATTCCCCCAGTGCTTTTCTGGTACCAGATGTCTTGTTGTGGGATCCGCTGTTACATTTTCCAGAGCTAGTCCTTCTCTGTCCGTCATGCGATGAGACAAATACTCAAGAGACCCTCAACCCCATTCGTTGGAAAGATGGTATTAAGGACTACGACCAACCACGTCTTCTGTATGGCCTAAGAAACGATGTGCTGCTCGTTGGACGAGTCTACCTGTGTCGAAATAAGCACCAAATTCTCAGTCACGATCAAGGCATTTTATGTCAATTGAGAGCTGGTTTTCAGCCGCCATTTCTGTTATTTCACAAGATAGGAGTCACAAGAGAGTTGTTCCGGTTTTTCACCTCGCACATAAGCGCGGGGATGACAATTTCCGATGTCCAAGTCCTTTGGCATCAAAGTCTGTTCGACGAGTATGGTGTACGAAAGATGAGTTTCCTCACGGAGAAGAACGAAAACCCAGAAGCATTTCCAAGTTTTTCACCGAAAGGCATTAAGGTTGGAGAAAAAGTTTCAACATGCTGTTATATTATGGGATACTTTGAAAAAGAACATCTGTACCACAAAAGAATGTGTCAGATGAGAGCTTCTTCATTAAGTGCTGATCATACATTTAAAGTGTCTGCAAATATTGGCTTTTGGTGTGAGGGAAAGTGGATACAGCTGTATGACAGTTTATTCATAGTTATGAACGAAATCGGCATAGTTTTAGCCTGGAAACTTTGCAAGGGAACAGCTTTCGATAAAGTTAAAGATCTGTTGACCAGTTTAAAAGACAGACTTGCCTCTAAAGGTTGTGTTGTTAACCATTTCTATATTGACAACTGTTGCAAGTGGAGGCATAAACTGAATTCTGTTTTTGATGAGGTGTCTATAAAGCTTGATCCTTTTCATGCAATACAGAGAGTAGTGACAAAAATACCAAAGAAGGGTGGCATTGGGCCACTTAAAAAGCTGCGCACACAAATGCTGCATGGCTTTAAATTGATTCTGAGGGACCCAACAGACCATGGAATGAAAAGATCAAAATCAACTCCATCAGTGAGTATTATTGAGAAAAACATTGATAACTTTCTTATACAGTGGAAATCTGTAGAATATGAAGGAACAAAGGTTATCCCCCAGAGTGCTATTAATGAAATTGAAAAATTATTAGTTCATGTCCGAAAGGGTTGTTTGTCAGATATTCCACCTTCTGGAGGTACCAGTCGGAATGAAGGAATTCATAAAGTTCTTAACAAAACTCTGAGGAAGTCAAGAATTGGAATCCAATTTGCATTAGCACTTCTTGGCATTTTCTTTTATATATGGAATGAGAAGAAAATAACAGCAACTGAAGACCAAAGAAGAATAAGGGTGACTCCACCAATTGAATCACATTTTGAACATTTGGAAAGCAATCAAGATGGATCTGGTAATCATCATTTTGGAATAACTGATCAAGATGTGGTCCTACCAAAAACTGGAGACTTTGGCTTATCTTCATATTGTAGTAACCATGGACAAGATAATACTCAGGGAGAAATTGTGGAACAATTAAATAACTTTTTAGATGGTATGTCATCAAACATATCCTCAGATGAAGATGAACCCAGTGTTTCTGAAACTATCTCACCACCACCCTTTCCCAATTTGAGCAAACAGCAGCAGCATAAAGTTATGAAGTCAGCAAAGTGTATGGCAGAGCTTTGTGAACAAATCCAGTCACTTGGCCAGTATGCCAGATTTAATCCAAACTATTTGTTCTTTACAAAAAGTAGCTTGACACTCTTCCACTCTGGTTTAGTTAGCAACAAAGAGTCTTCCTCACTTGATAATGTTCTATCAAATTTCAACATGGTCCGTGTTAATGTTCCACCAAATGGTAACTGTTTCTTCCTGGCTATTGCATATGCAATAGTCAATCACATTATTCCAATTAAAGCAATATCAAATGATTTAGTCAGCCATCTGGAGTCACTTAGACTGATGAACTGCAAAGACACAAATGAAATGAGCCATAAGCTGCGAGAATTAATAGTACATGAGTGGATCTCTCACCCAGAGGATTACCAGCCCTTCCTTGGTGTTGGACAATTGTTAGACCATGAAGCATCTTTATTTCTTAATGATGGTCATTTCGCATCAGAGTTAGGCAATTGCATGGCACTTGCAATGGCAAATTTACTCAATCTTCCAATTGTAGTAATCACACAAATGGAAAATATGTCAGTTGTCCCAGTTACTCCAAGGGAAACTCTTCAGTGCCTACCAATCTTTGTCACATTTGATCATGCAGGTGTGGGTCACTATGATGCTGTGGCACACAGTACAAGCCATTCAGTGGTCAATGAAACACAATCATGTTCAGTCAGCAGCATAGCTACCAATCCTGAATCTTGTCGTTGTGGTCAAGGCGCAAGAAAAAAAGAATCCAATATCACCTCTTGCGATCACTTCAAAAAAAGGTGCAAGTGTTTTCAAAGTGTGAAAGGTTGTAATGACTACTGCCAGTGTCTTGGGTGTGAAAACCCATATGGAAAAAAGGCAAAAGCAGAATACAATAGTTATCCATCCGAAACAAGTAAAAGAAAACGACGAGCACAGGAAATGACAACAGAGAGTATGTCTGGAAAACACTTTCTGCTTAAAAGACCCTGCTTGGAGAGTGTTAGCAGATGGACACTTCTTGAAGAGCTAGCCCTTATCCAGATTGTACAGTCCTCATTAACTGCAGCTGGCAGTGATATTGATATTGATGTCATTGCAATGCAATACTCGCAGCTGGTTGATAACTCTAGAATTCATCCCAAGTCTCAGGCTAAAGTTTCTGGAAAGGTAATTTCTTTTATGAATGACGATAGAGTTTATAAGGCCTTGTTAAAGGAGCAAGTGAGGTTGAATTGGTTCTGTTAGTTTGGTGCACAGTAAGATTCATTTAGTATGACATTCCGGAAAACTTATCAATTTCTAGTACATTGAAAAATGCTTATCTGATTGCATGCATGTATATTTCCAAATCTAAGAACTGTAATCAGGAAATTAGACATGTGTGTAGATGTGTAGTTCCAGAAAATATTTTTTAGTTTGGCATTGTACACCACTCAGGAAATTCCACTTCAACTTTATACTTTTCTTCTAAGATTTCCCCCACCCCCTTTCCACACCCACACCTCCTAGGAAATTCCACACTGTCTGTGGATAGAGTATTGCTACATGTATCTACTGGAATAACAAAGACGGGAAAGGAAAGGGGAAGAGGGAGAAAAGGGAGGGGAATGTCTGCTATAACAACGCCAGTTTTTATTCTGCCCATCAATTTTACCCTAATCCTGTTATGTCTTCTACCAAGATCAGCACTAATCAGAATATTCAAATAGTGAAAAGGATAGGTGCAAGAATGCAGCTTGATACTAGTTAATGTGTTACTAATTGTTGGTTTGGGGAATCAGTATTTTGCAGCTGCTAGTGGCTGCAGAAACGAAGAAAAGGGGTTTCTTATAGCAGATGCTCCCCACCCTCTTTGCCAGTCTCCCTCTTTTTACCCCTCATTACGCCTACTAAGCAGCCTACAGAATCTGTGTAGCACAGTAAGTCTGCAAGACTGAAACAAACTCAACGTCCAAGCCTATTTGTAATTAAATTTGGATAAGATGTGGCATCTGTAACTGATCTAAAGTCTGCTGGATTTGGAATGCCAAGATTTAAACCAGTTGCATTTCTGATATGCCAATATGAACATGCTTATAAAACATGGGGGGGGGGGGAGGAAGTGCAAACTGTTTATTATAAAATAATTTGCATCTCATCAACCATGCCAATCAGACCGAATCACAGTCATTATCCCATGCTGGTTGTTATAATTGAATGTGTATGGGGTGATTAAATATTACTGCAACTACCCATCAAATCCTGCTTTCAGGTAGTCAATAAGTTCTGTATATAAAAATCACATTTGTTTTGTTTTGCCTGGTTTTGTCCAGGGTTTTAGATAACATGAGGAATAGTTTACATGCCTCTTTTTGAAGAACAAAACATTAGCAGAGGATACTTACATATTTACTGAAGACTAAGTAAACCTGGTTACAATTTGTTTTTCTATGATATCTTTATTTTTGTTTCTCCCATCTGCTTAACTGTAACAAAGGTTTTTCTACAACATCAATTGAATAAAAATTTATTATAAATAAATATTGTATTCAATCATGACATGTCTCATGACAATAAGTCTAGTAACATCCTCTATTTGTTAACATTTAAATTATGTTGGAAAAATGCTGTATTTTACTAGATGTAATTTCAAAAACATGTGCAGAAGAATAAGAGTAAGTGAGGATTTCAAAATTCTTTTATTGGCATTATTTTAATAAAAATTATTTCAAGCTTTGGGGGTATAATGTTATTGAATTATCATTAATATTTGAAACGTTGCTTTTATGGATATTATACACTTGTGGCACAAACTATGAAAAAAATAACCTTGTAAACCTTCCGAATACAGCCAAGTTAATATTTTTTTGTTATCATGCAATCAAACCATGTTCTTCTGCTAATAATTTCTGAAATGCTTTATACCAAAGTATAATTTTTTATCTTAAAGCCCATGATAATCAATAGCTTAAAACTGGAGCACAACTTATAGCAAACATTTTAATCATCATGAAATACTTGAGGCATACTTAATGCTGGCCAGTAAACGATCGCTGTACTATAAATGACTAATGCAATAACTGTAAAAACCCATTCAAGCCCGGGTATTGTGGCCCTGTCACAAATCAACTGAAACTGAAACTGACTTTTACCCAATCATCATTTGGAGAAACTACTCTAATTTTCCCAAGTAGCAGTGCTATGCAACTCTGTTGTCCTTTTCAACATTCGGTAGGTTGACTAGCAGTCTACTCTGGGTAGGGGGTAGGATAGGGGGCTAACATTTTGCACTAAAGGGATACAGTCTGACGAGAAGAATTACTCATCTAAAATTAGAGCCCCTTCTTGTTGGAGGTATGCCCTCAGTTCGTTTTCCTGTGGGTGATTTTCGAGCATCTTATCCCTCTGGGAGGAGGGAAGAAGGTCATCCTTCTTCAAAAAATTTGCTTTATAATCTTCAAGGGACAAGTTAAGAGCACCAAGATGATGTTCAGAATTAGCAAGGGTTAATGGTAGCGCTTTATAGAAGAACGTAGACTTCTGTACCTTCTTGAAACTACCAAGAGATTCATTGGTCAGTTCTTGAAAACACTGTTCTGTGACTTGAGGGCTGGGTCGCGAACTTGAAGAAAAACTGTTGTAGACGCGTTTTGCACTGCAAAACGGCCCAGGTAAGCATAGAATTTTCTTCTTTATGTCTTCTTTCGAGACGTCCAGACGTATTGCTGAAGCCCCTTGTTTCAACTGCAAACACTGTCATAAAAGAAAACAAAACGGAAAAATTTTGGAGCTCGTAATTAACAAAATTAAATTTTGTAAAATTACCTAAAATAGCGTGACCTAGCCCCTTCAATCGAACATTCGAAAATCGAACCAAATCCGTGGATTTTGTCCAAGGATTCAAAAGTTACGGTGGAAAATCTTCTCGTCATAACTTGGTCTAGGAATGAAAACTGTAGACTTTGAAACATGATCTTCGCCTTCCTTTACGTTAAAGCTGAAATGCTGGGGAGTCTTTTACTACGTATTCAAGGCTAAGCGACAGTGCATCTGAATGCATTCCTGAATTTCTACGTGTACTAAAAACACGTGCTACAATCCCGGGTATACAGAATTAATTGGAGCCTCCAAGAACTTGATTTTGAAAACCAGTTTTACCAAAGATTAAGAGTTCAGAAATAATGCAATGTCCGATTGAGTTCGACAAATAAAAAAGAAATGAACACTTACTGCTTCAGCAACTCCTCCGAAAGCGAGAAGGGTGTCGTGCAGAGTCAAGGCCATGTTCATGGTGCTTTCGCTGATTGTCGTTGGGGTTGGTCCAGCAAGTTGATTTAAGGCCTTGTCAAGACGATGCCATAGCACGTGAAGATTTAGGGCCAACCTGAGGGCGTTTTTCCCTGTTTTGGCGTTGCACTCAGGATTAAACGCACCGACTGAAGATGGCATATTGGTCTTCCCCTTACAGTATTTTATGTACAGCTCGCGGGCGGTTGCAGTTAATGTGTATTCGACAGGGTTTTGCTGGTGGTGCTCTGTGTAGATATGTTCATACACCGTCCCTAAGCCTTTCAATGGACCTTGCTGGATATCAGAGGAACACTGTTCCATCTCTTCAATTTCCATTTGGTGGCGATCCTGGTACATAATTAAGACGCGATCCGCAAGTCCGTTGCGGCAAGCGACAACCTTTGGCCATATTTCAGTCAAAAACCTTCGAGGTGTTGTGAAGGTCGCCATACTCATACGCGCACTCTGAACGCCCACCCGCTTTCCTTTGCCCTTAACGGAATACCAATAATCGCCGTCGTACAGCTTGCACATACGCTCCATTGTCAGACAAGTATGCGATGCTGACTTCGACGTTGAAATCAGTTTGTTCAGGAAGGTATAACCTTCATCAATGCACAAGACGGGAACATATTCCCCGGCGGCACTTTTTTGGAAGTTCACAAAATGGTTAAAGAGACCATTCGACGACGTTTCGTCAACCAGAATGCTTCGATCAATTCGTAGCTCCAAATGCGAAATTAACGGTCCCACGCATCCAATGTTGCAGGCGGGGGTTTTTCCAGCTCCGGATGGAGCCAGGCCTAACATAAACAGATTTCCCTTCTCTTGAAAGGAATCAAACAGCTTTACTGTGGTGTTGCCAATTAATGCACTAGTGCATGGCAATATTCCAGCCAAGAGTAGCTCTGGTGAGGTACCGTGGCTTTTCGAGTATACTTTCAGCCATTCGTGGATGTGGGCCGGAGCAATTTCGTCCCATGGAATGTGGATTTCGGCAAGCTTTCTTTCAAGATCGCTTACTGAATTTACCTCTCCAAGTCCTCCAACAGCAGCCATTGTGCGCGAAATGAAAGACGCTCTCAGGGAAAACTCCAAACAAAATACACGTGGGAATCTCACCTTTTGATTGGTTCGTGTGATGTTTTTGTCACGTTAAGCTGACACAATACCTTCGCGGGTCCTTCGAAAAAAAAAATCGTACGCGTGTTGTTTCGAAGTTAACTACCACAAACTATATATCAATAGAAAGGTTATGAACTGCAGATTTCGAAAAAAAATATCCACTATGTATGCAGAGCCTTCTTTAAGAAGTTAGAAGCCAGTAAACAGAAAACGATCGATTGACATTCCGCTGAATTAATCAGGTATCAAACACCATCGCTTCTTCAAAAGTACTGCACAGTATCAATCAGCAAGGATCAGTCTCTAAATGTGTGTCAGGATTTCTCTGGTTTCTTATTGGTTATCTTTTTATAGACACGCAAAGTTTTTGTAGCGGATAATTTGCCGACCCTGTGGCGTTTGCGGCCGTAAAATGAGAAATATCTAAATTAAAGCTAATCTCCGACACGCTTTTATTGTTTGATGTTTAATGAATTTTCAGGCCAAATTTCATTAAAATCTGTCGATTCTACACATGTCACGCCTTCACCTGAGATGTATGTCAACATGGCATACCACCAGCCAAGCAATTCCAATGGTGTGACAGTCACGTTCTCCTAATTATAAAGTTCACCTGGCGATCGCAATGGGAAAATAAGCAGACGAAAAATACGGTTGAGTTTCATTATACGTGTTTTCTTCGAGTTGCACGTTTGAAGGTTGATCAAACCAAACAACACCCAAGACACTGTCGAACTAGCTTTCCCTTTTGCGTTCATTTTTTCGCTGCGCAAGGACTTTTCTCTATTCTTTAGAACTCGTTTCATGATTTCAGTGTAGTCAACTTTAAGTAAAGACAATTGAAGAGCCACGTAGCGAAATCGCATGTAACCAAAAGAAATGCTTATGAGTTCTCGGAATAAGAGCTCCCTGCACGAGGACATTTCGCACGGAAAGTTCGCCCGGGAGTCAAGGCACTGTGAGGAATATGGCACCTATCCATATTTTATTAACTTTTATATAAAAATTTTATGTAAAACCCCTTTTTTTCGAAATATCTCGTGCGCGTTTTAAGATTTTGCTTTCCTTTTTTGGTAATGTTAGATTTTCAGTTTCAGTGGGGAGACAAATTTTCGACAAAAAGTAGCCCTCTGAAGATATAGTGTACCCTACTGATCCACTGATCCACTGATCCATCGATCCATCGATCTACCGATCCATCGATCTACCGATCCATCGATCTACCGATCCATCGATCTACCGATCCATCGATCTACCGATCCATCGATCTACCGATCCATCGATCTACCGATCCATCGATCTACCGATCCATCTACTGATCCATCGATCTACCGATCCATCGACCTACTGATCCATCGATCTACCGATCTGGCGATCCATCGATCTAGTGATCCATTGATCTAGTGATCCATACTGATCTTCCATCGATCCATTGAACTACTGATCCATCGATCCATTGATCTTCTGATCCATTCATTAGCGATCAAGCGATCATCTGTCATAGATGCTGTGACGTCAGTTGTGAGGTTTTTACACCGAGGATAACCCGCAAATTCATACAGATTTGTATGAATTGTAAATTTATATGTAAATCACAAGCTTCATGTTAAGTTTCCCCTTACAAAAGTTTATAATATACATGCAATTAAAGTTTCTACCCAAAATTGAGTATCAAATGCTAGTTTGAATGATACTCATCAGTATCCTCTCCTTTCAACCATGGGCCTTAGCAAATAATTCTCACCTATTTGCTTAATTAGCACATATTCTTGTTTTTAGATACATTTATAATAGGCCATTTTACATTTGTGTACTTAGTTGCCAAGCCTTTGATTTGGATTGAAGCTGAAGGTGACCATGTTGTGATAGAGACCAGTATCTAGTTAGCATGATAATAAAGTAATTTGCATTTGAAAAATTTAGCCTCACTCCTCTTCAAAGGCTTGGCAACCAAGCATGCAACTGTTAAATGTGCTATTGTAAAGCTCATTGCAGAATGATGAGTCTCAATGAAAATAGATGAGACATTGAAATTAACTTGGATGTGATTCATTTTAAATTAATGATTTCAAAAGCATCATATGTCCCTTTGTGTTTTTTCCAATGGTTCATTTCACAGTTATGTGCTTGGCTGCCATTAGCCTTTGAACTGGAGTGAGTGGAGGCTAAGGGTGGCCTTGTTATGATACAAACATTGCTGCTTTTCAAGTGTAAATTACTTTGTAATCGTGCTAACTAGATACTGGTCTCTATCACAACCAGGTCACCTTCAGCCTCCAAATCAAAGGCTTGACAAATAAGTACACAACTGTAAAATGGCCTATTGCTGTTGAATCCTTTTGGAGATATTTATGTCTCCTTTTCATCTTTTCTATTAACTTTGTTACTGAAATGCTTTATTAGCTTTCCAAAGTCTGAGAAGTTTTATAAATTCTCCTGACAGTTTCAAGTCATGTAATAAAGCAGCAAATGGGTCATTAGAATAAATGTATTTTTTAATCACCCAGAGCAACTTACCTTATTCTTAACACATCAAAATTTCTTAGCCTATATTTCAATAAATGTTCTGTACTCCATTTTTTTGGCTACAAGCCTTTCTCTTTCTTTCGAGTTACCAACTCCTTTGTCAGTCAGCTGGCTTGTGTTTTTTTGTTTTTTGTTTTGGCTTAGGAAGCTCAACCGTCTTATCCATTACCATCTGGTGATATTAATTTCATTGTAATAATAATAATAATAATGGTCTTTATTGCTCATTAGATAAAAATACACATCTAATGTTACCAGATAGAAAGATTCAAGGTTCAGCCAAAATTACAATAGAATAAAAAGATCAAAATAGATACAATATATCTGGCATAAAATATCATAAATGGTTGTATTTCTTTACACTTGTTAGGGTTACAGCTCATAGAATTACAGTTCGCCCAAGTCAAAAATTTCTCCACTAAACCACTTAACGAGTCACTGCCCCCTTTCTACGCTGGTGCTACAATGGTTGAGTCATCTGCATACTTAAAAAGGGTGGGAGTGGAACCTAGCTTAATATCAAGGTCAATAACACGTTAAATAAGTAGGGGCCGCTCACACTTCCCCCCCCCCCCTCTTATTTACTCCTCTCCATTTGTGGAGGTAGTTGTTGTTGACTATACGTTGTTGTCTGTTATAAAGAAAACTGTGATACCGGTTGATGATATAGGCATTCAGGGGCAGCAACTTTAGTTTAATAGATAGCAGCTCGTGCCTAACTGACGAACGCTTTGCTGAAGTCCATTGCGAATACCCGTACTGCCTCACAGTCTGGATTAGCTAAGTGTCTGTTGATAAAGTGCTTGATCGCTAACAGTGCACCAGTGCAATTTCCACTTTCACGATGAGCAAACTGAGGAGTGCTAAGGTTTTCTTCCACAGCCTCCTTCACAAAGGTGTTATAAACAGCTTTCTCGAACACCCTGGCTATAACCGGAGTGAAATTTATACCACAGTAGTCAGACTTTTCTTTGGGTATGTCAACCTTGAGTATCGGATCGATATTCGATCTTGTCCATGACATAGGCCAGGTGTGCGTGCGCAGAGGCAAATTTCAAATATGACTGAGAATTGGTGTTAAAATCTCAGCCTGTTCCTTCCAAAGCTAAAACGGGATGCCATCAGGACCCGTAGCCGTTCGTGTGATTTTGCTAAGACTTTTCCAAACAAGCCTCTCAGGAATCTCAGGTACTTCGATTTCGCTGCCGACAACCACATCTACTGATGCAATTTAATTCAGGTCCGTACAAAGTTCATGAAAATAATCATTCAGCTGGTTGGCAAAGGTGCAGCGTTGTCTGATGTCATCGAGTTAATCTCCTTGGGAGGTCGTCAATTTAAGGTCAAAGGTAGCCAGACAATCTTTAGCCTTTCTTTTCTGACTCCGACTGAAAAAAAAGGATTTAATATTATTTTTTAACTTGATAAAAAACCCACATTTTCCAAGCGTGCTGAACTGCAACTAATTAGACATACTTGTACGCATTGCGTACCTACGTTGATGAAGGCTGGAATGATCTTTTGACAATATCATTATCACGTAACTTTCCACATCGATTTCCAAGAAACTCCAAGATGTTACAATTTCCATTAGTTCGTCGAGCTTACTTGTACGATTATTTCACTCTTTTTCTTGTCAGGAAGGAGATAGTTACCAAAGATGGCTGAAGCTTTAACGTTGGCCGAAAATTTAGAGAAGGCGTTGGAATGCGCTGTGTGCTTGGATCAGTTCAAAGATCCCAAAGTTCTTCCGTGTCTTCATTCCTTCTGTAGAAAGGCTGGTCAATAGAAAAGGAAACGCCTAGAAGTTGAATTGCTCTTCTTGTCGCATTAGAGTAGAGGTTAGTTTGTGAAAATAAATTACTATTGATTGTCGTGATGTGGGACTTAGT